CCCGTAACCGGCGGTGGGAAGGCCCCTGGGCGTTAAGGCCCTGACCCCCGGCGGCGGGGAGAGCGGTGTCCCGAGGACGGTGCTGCGGGTGCTTGAAGGGACCGGGCGTGTGGGTGAAGGTGCGGAGACCCACCCTCTGCAGGAGTGGCCTGTCTGGTGCTGTTGGGTGACTTTTGGCCGCCTCCTGAGGGTGAGTGGGAGGAACTCCGCAGCTTTCCCGCTTTGCTGGGGGTGAGTTAGGGCGGTCGAGCGGTGGCCGGGAGGGGTCGGGTGACACCCTTCCCCGTAGAGCGCTTGGCTTCATCTCTGAGTAAATGTCGAACAAATATTTAAAGAGTACCTTTGCATGGGTGCCAGATTCGTTTCCTGGTTGCGGAGCCCGCATTTATCATTTCAGCCCTGCCCAGGAGGACTGCCTGTAGTTCCTTGTGCTGCTTTTATGCATGTTCCCATTTCAAGTCAGTCCAACCTTAAGAGTCTTAAAAACAAACAGCACAGGAAACAAAGGGAGAAAGACAGAATTGTTTTGATAATTAACAGGATGGGAACAGCAAGAGTAATGAGTGAAACTTAAAGGAATCCGGGTCATTATCTGAAGTAGTTGTAACATTTTATTGGGCTATTGCCAGTACATATTCGTGTGCTTTGGTCGTGTTATAGATCTCTTCTGCAATCTAGAAACATGTAATCCTAACAGAAAAGCAGTTGCTCTAGCTTCCGGATATTCCCAAAGATTTATCTGGAACTTGCTAGAACTTCCAAGTTCTCAGGCATTAAAAATAATCCCCACTCTAAAATATAGTAAAATATAACAAAACAAAAACCAAAACCACTTCAAACCGTACATTTCTTTTGGGGAACATTCGTCTACACAGAAACAAATAATGTGAGGGAGCGAATGGGAACTTTGGGAAATGGAAACCAGTGCAGATGTGCTAATGTGCCAGTGTGCCAACTCAGTGAGCTGCGGGCTAGGCCTATAGTTACAGGCCTTGGGCACAATGCGAATACTTAGCAGAATTTACAGCGAGTACATGACATGAACTTTTGATTTTTACCTTGAAAATTTGAAATTGCTAGTAATTGAAATTCCATACTGGAGAATTTGTGAACGGAGTGAAGAACCATTTTGATCCAATGTTAAACTGAAGTGAGAGAAAATAATGCTTAAAAGCATTAAGTATTTATTTAAAGTTTATGTTTTTTAAGTATTCCATACCAAGCCCTATATGTTTTATAAATGTCTGAATTGTTTGCTCTTCCATTTAGAGCAGTAGTTATTTTCAAGAATATCATACATAGTCCTATATAAATGTGCAAATAGGTATACTCTCACAGTTGATGGCAATGATAACTGTAGGTCTCATGACACTTACAGGCTATAAATATTTGGCTTCGTGTTCAAGCATTAATTATGTTGCTTTTGGGATAGTTTTCAGTTTGGCAGTCCCAACCTCTGTTATTTATGGAAGTATTGATAATCTATTCTAGGACATGGGTTGGCAATTTTTTTTCTGTAAAGTACTGGATGTCATTACTAGTTAACTCTGCCATTGCAGGGCAAAAATGTGGGACCAGCCCTATTCGGTTTGGCTCAGTGGATAGAGCATCAGCCTTCGGTCCTGCGTTCTAGCCTGGTCAAGGGCCCATGCCCCAGTTTTAGGCTTGATTCCCAGTAGGAGGCATGCAGGATGCAGCTGATCAGTGATTCTCTCATCATTGATGTTTCTCTCTCTCCCTCTCCCTTCCTCATTGAAATCAATAAAAATAAAAAAAAGTGGGAACAAATGAGCATGGCTGTGTTCCAATAGTGAGTTATTTATGGATATGGAATTTGAATTTTATATCATTTTTGTGTCACAAAAGATTATTTAAAAAAATTTTCCAACTATTGTTCTGAACTTGCAGGCTGTATAACAATGAGAGATGAGATGTAGTTTGCTCACCCCTAATCTAGAAGATGGGAAGTGCTTTCTCATTTATTGAGTAACTAAAGGTTATTGCTGTTTATTTTTGCAGTTATATACGTTCCCCTTAATTAGGGAAAGTTTTCAAACAAAGGAAGTATTGTAGTGATCTTCACTTCCTTTCACATAGACATTGCTTTTTGGCTCAGATCTTTTGGAAAGAAAGTTTAGGCAGATATAAGCTCTATTTCTTTTGTTCTACCACATTACTTTTTAGTTAATAACTGATATAATTTTAAAAATTGTCTATAATTTACAAGTAATTCTTTAATTGCCCCCAGGGAAATATTTATATTGAAGAACCTGTAACCTTGAAGGTTTCATCCTCACATATGTAACTCCTGGTTTATTTTCCTGTGAAAGCCATCTTCGAATTGTGGTTAGGCTCCCAAAGCAGTGAACAAAAGCATACTTAGTGCATATTGTAGTTACAGTAGCAGCCCAGGGTCGCCCCTGTCCAGAGGGGTGACTGATTCTTCATCCGGCTGCCAAAGTATGGCTCACTGGCCAAATCCAGCCTGTCACTTGGATTTGTACGGCCCACGGTTTTTACAGATGAACAGTTGCAATTGATTTGATGGAGCAGTAATTCTGAAGACCAATGAAGCAAAATGTTACCCCTCGAAATAATTCTGTTCTCAATAGCAGACATATATTATAAAGCATTGTACTCAATTGTTATATTTTGAATTTGTCAGAAAATTTGTTTTCTCTTGTGTTACATGCTATTCATGATTTTGCCTGGTAGGGTGAGAAGCCTAAAATATTTACTATTTGCACTTTACAGAAAAAAGGTTGCTGACCCTTGTGTAACTTGAGCCTGAAGCTTTGAAAGGTTAAGGATGAGAGGTGGGAGGTTTGTAAAGAAAGTAGAAATAGTTTGAGCCTTGGGTGATGGCAGGATCAGAGCAGGGCTGGGAGTAAGGAGGGAAGTGTGAGGGAGACCTGGTACCCCAGTGCCTGGGCTTTATGGAGGTTGTTGGACCCACCCTGCTGCCCGAGTGATGGCTGCAGCGCACATATACTTGCAAGCAGTTCTTAAATTGAGTGTTTATAAGTTGTACATATCCAACATTCCCAGTTTTATAGGGCTTCATTCTTAATACTCTTCTTTTGAGTTACGAAGTATTTTTCTGTGCATAAAGCTATGAAACAAGAGGCTACATGATTTGTTTTTTTATTATATGATAAACTTTATATTAAGCTCCATTTTTATCACTCAGTCCTTTTTGTTTTTCTTTCTGCTGTCTTTAAATTTAGGATATAAATTGCTGTAATTGTTTTCATAAGTTTGAGTTATAAAGATTATAAAACTAGAGGCCCAATGCACGAAATTCATGCAAGGGGCTTGGCCCCCGCCACCATGGTGGCTGCCTCTGCCTCAGCCCCCGCCACTGCGGCTTCGTCCAGAAGGTTGTCTGGTTTAATTAGCATATTATGCTTTTATTAATATAGATTATTATAGATAGGTAATTTATAACATCCAAACTAGAGTCAGTCTTGCAATTGAGGCATTCCCAGGGACAAAATCAGTTCTTAACCAGTTGATATTCAAACTCACTGTGTTCTGTGTATGTGTGTTTGTTTATGTTCCTATAAGTGGAAAGTATTGCTCTAAAGTAAATTTTTAAATATGGGTTTAAAAAGTTATTTTGTGCTTGAAGTTGGAAGGCATTTTGAGGTATAACGTTGATTAACTTTTATATACATTGATATTGTCTACTAAATAATATCTTTGTTGCACATATTTTCCAGAAAATGTCAGCTTATTATTCAAGTTATACTGCTTGACAGTGATGACCCTGGTGGCTGCAACGTATACCATAGCTTTAAGATACACAAGGACATCAGACAAAGAACTCTACTTTTCAACCACAGCCGTGTGTATCACAGAAGTTATAAAGTTATTGCTAAGTGTGGGAATTTTAGCTAAGTGAGTATAATTACTTTTTAATGAATTAAGTTCTTTTTCCACTTAAGGTATTTTCATTATTAGAAAAAAAAATCAAGCTACATTTTTATGTTTGATTGCTGTAGAGCAGTATTGCTCAACTTGAGGCGATTTTGCTCCCCAGGAAATATTTTTGGTTGTCCCAACTTGGGGGTTGCTACTGGCATGTGGTGGGTAGACAAAGGATGCTTCTAAACGTCCTGTAATGCACAGGACAGCCATACACAACAAACAAAGAATTAACCAGCCTTAGATATGAGTAGTGCCAAGGAGTTGGAGAACCTTGAGCCAAATCCAGCATGCTGCCTGCTTTGTTGCAGCAGAGACCATATGATTCACAAAGCCTAAACTATTTGCTATTTGGCCTTTACCAGAAAAAATTTGCTGTTTAGAGGATTCTAACGATGATCATAGTGAACATCTCTTGAGTGTTTTCTGTGTTAAGTGCTCGGCACTGTGCATTGTGCTTTTCATTATGTCATTTAACCTTTATATTTGTAGATAAGTGCTACAATTACCCCTGTTTTACTTGTACAGCATCTGAGGCCCTCAATATTACACTGTTAATATGTGGCAGCACTGGGCTTGGAATCAAATAACACCATATGAGAATCATTTTAGCTAAGGATGCAGTGTAAAAGAGGATTAAGAATATGGACTTCGGAGTGAGACACCTAATTTTCATCCTAGCCTCGTTGGGAGTATGACTTTACATGCATTTCTTACCTCTCTAAGCTTTAGTTTCTTCCTAATTTAATGGGAGAAAAAAATACAGGGTTGTGAGAATGAAATAACATTTTGTAGGAAATTACTTAGGAAAAGATTTATGATATGTGAGCCCATCTGGGTCATGTGAGCAGGTGAGACTTCCTACAGGTTTTGAGATATGAGTGGGGAACCAGTGCAGAATAGGATGTGTCAGAGTTTAGGTAGAGAAAATTACATTTAAATTTCATTTAACATGATTATTAAGTGATTTCTATGTGACAGTTTTATAACAGGTGCTGAATGTACAAGTGTGAATGAAATAGATAGGGTTCCTGCTTGCTTGGAACTTAGGTTTAGTAGAAGAGGGAAAATCAGTAAACACGTATGATTACAAATAATCATGTGGGGAAAAATACTAAACATGGCTTGGGGGAGGGAGAAAAGAACAGGAACGTAACTCAGGCCAGAAGGTAGAAAGTTTTAATGTTTTCGAGTTTAAAATATATCTTACAGGCAGCCTAACTTGTTAGGTTGAAAGTAAGATAAAATCTCAGACCTTTCAGTTTCTTACTTAACAAGATTTATTTTTATTGATATTTGGCTTTCATTAAAAGATTCTTCATTTTGGATAATGTCAGCTAAATGAGAGGCCTTATTGTACCTTTAAAAATAAGTGTTTCAGCCCTAGCCAGTTTGGCTCAGTGTTGGCCTGTGGACTGATGAGTCTCGGGTTCGATTCCGGTCAAGGGCACATTCCTGGGTTGTGGGCTCAATCCCCCGTGGGGTGTGCAGGAGGCAGTTGATCAATGATTCTCTCTCATCATTGATGTTTCTGTCTCTCTCTCTTTCTTACTCTCTGAAATCAATTAAAGTATTTCAGCCCTAATGGGTTTGGCTCAGTGGATAGAGTGTTGGCCTGCAGACTGAAGGATTCCCAGGTTCAGTTCTGGTCAAGGGCATATGCTGGGTTGCTGACTTGATCCTCAGTAGTGGGTATGCAGGAGACAGCCTATCATTGATTCTCTCTCATCATTGATGTTTCTCTCTCTCACTCTCCCTTCCTCTCTGAAAATCAATAAAAATACACTTTTTTAAAAAAGTAAGTGTTCCAAAGGCAAAAGTCTGTGTGTTTAAAACTTGAGGACAGTTTCCATATAACAACCTAAGAGTGACTAAATGAACAAAATCTTAAGATCTAACTTCTTTTAAGACAAATATAGGGTTGTTGGAAGAAGAAGGATAGGGGAACACATTTCTTCTCTTTATTTCCTAATTTCCTTGGGGACTCAAGATTGAAATAGGACTGTTAAGCATGAAATGAGGCATTTTAAACTGTAAAATCAAATTATGGTTCAGTTGTTTTGTGACTCTTAAGAATTTTAAAAAACCAATGTGCAAAAAAAAGCAATGAGGCCTTTGGTGTAACTTAGCCGTTAGGCTAGTCTTCTGCCAACCCACCTGCACAGACTTTGTTCTATTTTGATGTTTTATGGTGTGTAGCATTTCTTATTTTTCAGCTACTCAATGTTATGGGTATGGTTAGTTATAGTTTGTTTTGTGGAAACTTTTTTTGAAATTATATAAAAACTAGAGGCTCAGTGCATAGATTCATGCACCAGTGGGGTCCCTCCGCCTGGCCTGCGGGGGTTGGGCCGAAATTGGCTCTCTGACATCCCCCGAGAGGTCCCGGATTGCAAGAGGGCAGTTTTTGGGTGACGCACCCCAGAATCAGGCTCTCTCCTCTCTGGTTCTGGATGCGTCACTGGAGAACCACCGCTGCCAAGTGACCACAACTTGGTAGGTCCTGTGTTGAGCATCTGCCCCCTGGTGGTCAGTGCGTGTTATAGCTATTGGCCAATCAGCCAGTCGTTTAGGCTTTTAGATATATAGATATAGATATAGATGTAGATATAGATATAGATATAGCACACAAATTTCTAAAACTCCCCCAGACAAGTCAAATAATGGTATTGAAATAACAAGTGTGGAAAACCAATTACTATACTTAATCAACATCATATCAATAATTAGTTGCTGTTTCTGTCACCAGCATAATGTAGAGACTCTTTTGTGAACATTTACCTGCAAAGTACACAAAGACCAGGGATAATCAGGAAAAATGAAGGAATTATGATATACAGAGTTTTGGTGGTTGGCATTTCACATTATATGGCTAACAAAAACTTGGCTGTGAAGAAGAATCATTCAAAACATTTTTTTAAGTGAATAATTTTTTTTCGTCAATGCCTGTTTTCTTTCTTTTTAAATATAGTTTTATTGATTTCAGAGAGGAAAGGAGAGGGAGAGAGGGATAGAAACATCAATGATGATAGAGAATCATTGATAGGCTGCCTCCTGCATGCCCCCACTGGGGATTTGAGCCCGCAACCTGGGCATATGCCCTTGACTGGAATCGAACCCAGAACCCTTCAGTCCGCAGGCCGACACTCTACCCACTGAGTCAAACCAGCCAGGGCCATTCAAAATATTTTAAACACAAGGAGTTTCTAAGTGGGAAAAAATTTATAGACCATGAAAAAAGTGAAATATATTTGAAATTACTGGATTTTAAAGTGAATATGATTTTATGGAGCAATATGTTGGTAAATTATCAGGCACTTCTTCAAAAACACATGGGCAGAAACTGAATACCTGCTATTCATAACAAAAAATATTTTATTTATTGGAACAAAGAGTTTACTTTCCAGAGGGTATCTGTGAAAATGTTAATTTCTTGGAATAAAGATAAAGAAGAATTATTTCAACCTACAAGGTCACAGATTGGTAGCTACACACTGAAATGGAAGAACATTGTGATTGCTTTTTTAGCACTATCTGATGATTGATTTAATGAAACTAAAGCATAGCTACCAGTTTGGGAAAGATAACCAGTAAAAATGTTGAAAGTTGATCGTAGATCTGGAGCAGTTTGAAATAGGGAAAAGATGAATAAAATATATGGCTGGACTATGACTAGGCTGCTAAGTGAATCGAACAGGTAAGAGTTGCAACAAATTAAAGAGCTTAGAACTTTATATGTGTCTTTTCTATTTCTTGGTGTGACATTTGCAACAAAGTAAAAGATTTTCCAGACATTCTCCCTCCATGCGTCATTTCTTGTTCACATTGAAATTGGTAATTAAAAAACAAGTTTAAAAGGCAAGTAGGATATTACATAGTTTTTAAAAAACACATATTGGCTGCCAGTGCTTTATTTGCTGTGATGGAGAAACTTCTAAATATCAAAAATATTCGTTACTTGAAAAAATTTTGAGTTGATTTGTTATACATAAAGCTAACCAAAGTTGATTTCATATTTTTGAATTTATATCATCTGTTTGAAAATTCTTTACCACAGTGTTAAAGTAATTCTTTCTATACAGCTAATTCTTTCTATGAGACAAGACTTTTAAAAAAAATCTTTGTTTTCATAGTAGGAGCAATACTTTCACCATCTTTGAGAAAGGATAACCATTTCAGGATATCGAGGGAGAATGTGAAAGAATTATATGAGGAATAACAAAAGGTTTAGAACTTGAAAAACCTCTCCAAAGAAGAAAATACAGGGGGGGAAAAACTTTTTGATGATTAAAATAATAAATTTCCTCTATGTTCCCAGGAAAATAAAGTTAATGTAAAAATTAGATAAAATATTACTGAATTTTTATTTCAAATTTGTAGAGAATGACAGAAAAAGGGAAATAAACTGGAACTGCTATTTAAATGGAGAAAACTATTGAAGGGAGTAAATTATTTTTCTCTTCTTTCCACTTTAACCTATGGTAAGGTATAACTTTATCGAGTTGATTAGC